TTTTAAGTGTTTACAATGGAAACTACTGATATTTTTGATATAGAACAAAATGATTTATATGACATTATGCCATCATTTGCTGAATTAGAGATGGAAGAATATGATGAAGCAGATGATATAATTCATCAATATGCTCAAGAATTATGGGAATTTTGGTGAAAAAAAGAATGTACCTGTAGAAAAACAAAAAAAAAAAATAAAATAAAATTTGGTTTGAAAAAATAGGATTTTAGCGATTTTTTAGAAGACAAAAAGAATGTCATAAAATGACATATAACAGCTTAGATAGTTGGATCAAAGGGCAACTTGTGGCATTTGCATTTAGTGAATCTCCAAAAAATAAAAAAACTAGTCAAGAATCATGTTGTCATATTACATATCAGTATCGTTATGATGCTTAACATACTGTGTGTATGTTTACATATGCAACCTTAACAGAAATTTCTTTGGCTCAACTTTATCAAATTAAATCATCTATTAAAAATAAAGGAATTATTAAAAATATTCATGGAAATATAGAATATACTTTTATTCAATCTGATCATGCAATTGTAGATGAAGAAATTAAACAAGAAATTAATAATTTTATTCATAATTATACCAATATTCATGGATTTCCTTCACTAGGCTGACATATGCAACAAAATGTTATACCAATTATTTCACTTCTTGTAGATACAACATATACTAATGTCTATAAAGAATATATAAAATTTATTGAATTAACAAAAAGCGAAAACTATAAAATTATGACATATGTTACATTTTTTAAAATCTGAAAAAAAGTTGCATATGATGTTTGATTAATAACTAAAATCTTTAATTTATGTAATAAATGTGAACAACTTTGTACTGAAATTTGAGTTACTAATGATCTAGAAAATAAACAAAAACTTCAAAATGAATACAACCTTTATTATACAAATGCAACAATTGAATATTAACATTATAATAACAATATTAATATGAGTAAGCAGTTAGAATTTAATATTGTACATATTTGTTATAACTGGGTACAAAATATACAAATTCTGTATTTACCACAGCAACCTGGAAGCTTGTTTTTTAAATTATCCTTTAATGTTCATATATTTGAAATTGCTAATACTGATCTAGAAACATAAAGAAATTATCTTATTGATGAGCATCAGTTTCCAAAAAAAACACCTAAAGATACTAATACAACTCTTAATTTTTTTGTATGATAGTTTATTTTATTAGAATCTGTTATAAAAAAATTTAAAAGTTACATGTGATAATTGTAAAGATCAAAACAAAAATAACCTTACTCTTTGGTTTTACTCTTGACTTATTGTAATTAGATGATTTGATACTATTGAATTAAATTTTATGATTCCCAGTCATACAAAATTCATTTGACTTATATTTTGGAATAATTAAATTACATTATCATAAATTTAATGTTATAAATATGGATCATATTGAAACTATTATTAATCAATCAAAAAAAAATAAAAGTAATATAACAGTTAAATATGATAGTAAAAATCAATTAAGATGAAATTATTATGATTTTAAAAATTTTTTAGAACCATATTTTGTAAAAATTGATGGTATACATGCATATCATCACTTTTATTTCTATCATAATCAGTCTGAAAAAATATTTATGACTTTAGAATCTAATAGTATAAAAAAAGAAGTCATAATTCATAATAATGTTTAGTTCAATTCATATAAACTTTTAACTGTAATTCCCTTAAAACCTTTAAAATGTTAAATACAATTGTTCAAAAATATTCATCCATATATCCACAACCCTCACAAAGACAAATTATGTTTTGTCTCATGTGAACAAGATTATATTGATATAGAATAATTTTTAGATCATCAACATGCATATATATGTAAAATTTTATTTTTAGAATCAAAAAATTGATATAATAAAAAACTTTGAACAAGAATTATGTAGTAAATTATTATAATATTATATAATGAAACTTGTGCCAAATGTAAAGTATATACTAAAGAATATGATCCAATAAATTATCAATGTTTGATCAAAAATTCCCAAATACTCATAATGGTAGAAATTGACCCATATATCTTTTTTACTAATTAACATAATACTAAAAACAAACCTATTAAACTACTCCCATTTTTGCACTGGAAATCAAATTGATGTTACAAATTTATGAGTGTATGTTAACACCTCCATCATCAGGTTTCCTATCAACAATAAAATAAGAGAGTAAATGTGTCATTGTCATTAACAACTAAAGAAATGCACACTAGAATAGTCTACAGTTAGTGCTTTCAATAGTTAGCATATATCTTATTCATCACTTATCCTGGAGAACCATCTCTCAGCTTTATTATTTATTATAGAAGAAACTTTTCGAATATGAACAGAAGAATGTTCAACTATCTAAACAGTTGACCACAAAAAGCTTTTATTCTATTCGATTTTACACCTAATGATAGTATAAGTAATAGATATTCTATGGGCTGTTGTGAATATCATGAATTAGCATGGTGAAGCTGTGGTAATGCATGATGTCACAGCATACTGTTGAATATCTGTTATATTTCATGGTCCTATGCCTATAACATTTCTGATTGAAAATTTTTACTGATGATGTTATGTTGTAGAATAATTTTTGATATTTTCATGCCATTACATCATCATAAAAATATTATTAGAAATGTTCACAGGTGAACATATAGGGCCATGGAATATCTTCAGATACATGATAACTTAACAAATATTCAATGAGAAAACTCATCCTGTGTGTATATAACCCAACCTAACACATTTTAAAAACAAGATAATGTCTCACTTTAGTATTTTTTCTTTCAAGGTAGATGGGTGTTTGATTACAACAGATATTGCAACAGATTTTGACATTATTTCAAAAGATAACCTTTCAAAGAAGTAAAAGTCATATGGAAGCGAAAATTTGAAAAAACATCTGTATTATAGCAACCATTTTCTGTCAGTCAGTTTGAACAAATATCTGTGTTGTCAATGGACAGCTTTGGACATGAGTTTGAACATTTTTAAACAAAAATATAAATTAAAATTACTCACAATTTTGTTAAGATAATCTATATATTTTTCTAAGTGCAAAATATTCAGAATCTGAAAAAATATATAATCATATATTTTTTAAGTGAATTTATTAATTATTAGAGCTTGGATATGCTTTGGACATTCTGTAACTATGCATGACCAGGGAATCCATATAACCTTTGTTATACAAAGAGCACTGACAAATTTTTACTGATCAATAATTATAATGATATTGTTTTATACTAATATTTTGCAAGGAATTTTTTTATTAATGCGCAGAAGATGGTTACTTAGACGAAATTTTGGTTTGATTTTACATTACATCTTTTTTTTCAATAGGAACATCTCTGTTAAGAGAACATATTCAGGTTACTCTAATCATTACAAGAAAAATAACATGCCGAAAACCCATTTCTAGAATACATCAAAAACTTTTATTTTCATCTATTTTCAGTCACATATCAAAACCTGTTTCATTTAACTTCAAATACCCGCACCTTATAAGGTTTGAATAGTAATTAGCTGTCATTCGTAACAATATAGATGCATATAGTAAATGATATTCTTACTACATACTAGAGTGGACTGAAATATGTAATGCGCATATATGTGCATATGTGGTCACGTTAATGTGAATCATATGTGCACATATGTGATAATCGATTCCATAGAACGAACATCTTTTATAACAAGCTGCAAAATTTTAAATTTTACATTAGTTCTATATGATAAGCGTGAACTTTAAAAAAAACTATTTTTTTCTAAAATAATCAGTTTGTTATATAAGAAAGCTAGCCATATTTCAGTATTTTGGAAGAAATATGAATCTGAATGTAAAGTTTAATTATTTACTCGAAGTTGTAAACTGTTTTTATTTATGGATTTCATATATTTTAATATACATATTTGATTGAAAATATTATAGTAGTTAAATGGAAAACATTTAAATTAATGATTTATATAGCTTTGACTTTATAGACTTATATTGTATGTCAAGGCCACCTAGCTTCAAAAATACATCAAAGTTTATATTAAGATAATGTCAAAAGCAGTACGTAATACATATATATATATATATATATTTTTTTTTTTTTGAAACGAAGGTATTAATTGAGTCAGCATTATAGGATCTCTTTTGAAAATATCAATTTCTACAAGTTAGAATATTTAAAGTTATACAATGAATAAAATTTAAAATCTTAAATAGTTTAAACTTACTTCATAATTATAATAAGTTCTTGGTAGTTTCGTCTATTAATTTATATTTCAGAGATAAGGCATTATTAATAAGAGAATTTTATCATTAGAATTTAATTTATATTAAGCAAAAATCCACTTGCCATTTTCACAATACAGATTGTAAATGATTACGTAGTTTATTAAAAGAAAAGAATTTAATATGACATTTGTTTAAAATTTGAAATCTAATAAAAAAAAAATTTATTCGATTTTATTAAAATACATAAAATTTAAAATACTAATAGAGTTTTCTGAAAGAGTATGTCTTCTATCTGTAAGAATATTTTTGTACACAGAAAAGCTTCATTCAATGTCAACTCTCAAAACAGAAAGCCAAATATAAACTAAAGCGATTTGTGACAAATTAGGTAAATGCCCAGCCATTTCTTTTCAGTATGCATCTAAATCAAATTCACTATTATAATCAAAATTATTATTCAATTTACAGTAGATTCCCCACTTATGTACAATTATATAATTCAGATTTTCAAATTCAGAAATACTCTTATATAAATTAATATCCTGTCTACTTTGTTGTAAATGAAGGTACTGAGGATTGAAGCATTGAATTGTTTTAAATAATGATAAAACAGGATGTTGGTTAATATGTTTCTTAAACTTATTTAATGCTAGTTGATATATGTCTTGAAATTTAATTTTATATTGTGAAGAATCTATATTCAAACTATTAAATTTCATTAATATTTTGTTATTTAAAGGTGGATTTATAGTACCAGCTTGTAACTGTGCTTCAAGTTATACCAAATGATATGATACAAAGGGTGCTATAGGTTTGTTTCAAATTTTAAAAATTCCAAAGTATTATATAGACTAAATATAAATTAAAATATTAATATTAAATTATATGTTATAATTGATTTAAATATATATAAAAATTAGTAAAATACTATTTACTCTTGTGCATTAAATATGACAAACATAGTCAAGATTTCAAACTCAAAAGTAAGTAAAGGATCTTTGAAAGTTGATATTAATTTTTGAACTGCTTTTCCTTCATTATTAACTAGATCTTCGTTCAAGTAAAAATCTTTTAATTGAAAAGCATGTTTGTCAATCCAAAAAATAAAGTTGAACCAAGAATTCCAATGAGTTTTGACTGGAAACGGGGGTAATGTTGATGATAATTCAGGATTTTATAAATTAAAAAAGAAAATCCATCTTCTTTTATGTGCATTATTATGAGTAAAAGATGCTTTAATATGCATAGCTACTTCATCTAATAATTTAAAACCCTTATAGCCTACCTAGGTTTCACTAACTAAATTTAATATATAGGCTAAACAATGGTTATGTTTCATTTGACATATTATAGAAGATAGAATGCTAAATACTTTTAGTATATAAGAAGCATTATCTGATATAAAAAAATTAATATCTTCAAATGAAATATTGTAAAATTGAAGAGTTCTTAATACTAATTGCACAATTGTTGAACTATTAACAACAGTTAAATGCTCAGTTTTAATAAGTTTAGTTTTATTGTAAAAACTAAATAATATATTAACTGCTGCTCTTCCACAAACATCAGGTGACTCATCAACGGTTATAGAAATTCGTTGTCCTACTAAAAGTTGTTTTAAATTTTCTATTTCTAAATCAAATGTGATGGGCAAATATTTGTTACGCAATTGAGTAGATTCAACAATCGAACCTCCTATAAAATAAAATATATAATTTAATAAATAAATTAATAAATTTAAT